CATATGTCCACCAAGTTTCATCAAAATCTAATCATTTTTGACTGAGTTATAGAGCAAAAATAGTGTGAAAAATAGGTCCACCTGCTAACAGATAGGTTTTTTGGGGGGACCTTGACCTTTGATCTTTACCCTCCAAAAATAGTCACTTCTAAGTTGGGTCATAGTCCAAATGTATAATATACCAACTTTTGTCCAAATCCATTCAGCCATTGTTGAAAAAATCTTGCTGACAAACACACAATGAGATGAAAACATAAATCAATACAAAGCACTCGTGTTTAAAGGTTTTTGGAAAGTTTGGTGCAAAAATAATCACAGGGAATATCACTCAATACTAGCTGATAGGACAGACAACGTGTGACTGAAGCCAAGGGAAGTGTGGGCAGACTGGCTTTTACCTGACTCACAGGGGTGGAAAAATACCTGCACAGTGCACCTACTTGTTGCCATAGGCCTAGGCTCACGGTTTGAATTCTTCATTTTCAGCAAGTGCTGAGAAAAACAACATAAAACTGGATTTAGCTTATTTCAGATATTGTTCCCTAATCTCTTAATGACTTTATCTCAGATTGACAAAAATGAGAGTTTCTGTATAACCCTTCTAGCTTATCACTGGGGGACTGAACAAGTCCTAAAAAAGTGTAAAGAAATTTACTTTTAAAACAGTTATACAGGAAGATGAAACAAACAAACAAAAAAGAGAATAACAAATTACACTCTTTAGACAAGTTTGCTTGTCATCATCATATGTACAATAAATATGTAAGTACAGATAAATGCTGTAGACTACCTGATGATCAGTGAATGAGAGAACATGCTGAAGAAGAGGATCTTGGAGTTCTGGGCTTGTCTCAAATACATTAAGTAGCTGTTGGGGTGGAAGCTGTAACAGAACTTGGAAAGACTGGGGTTTGGTTCTCTGACAACACTTGATAAATCCTTCCCATACTTTTTTCTGTTTCCACACCTATACAATTAAAAGAACATACAATTCATACTTACAGCCTTGACGTATTCAGCAAAAATAATGCCAGATTAATACAAGTGTTTTGATGTGAATCTTATCTTTCTTAGTATAAAACTAGTAAACAACAGATGAAATGGAATTAAAAAAAAACACTTGTAAAAAAATAAAAAAAAAGGTTTAAATACCCTGAGGCTGTGAAATTCCAGTAGTTTTGGTCCATTTTCTACAACTTTCTTTTTTCCCACTCAAATGCATATCATAATTCAAGTTTAATATTCTTATAATAGTACTGTAGATGTTTTGACACAATCAAAGCAATGTAGTTATAAATGCACTGTATTCAATCGTCACAAATCTCATATTGATATTAGTGAACACACTATATATGGTAAGCCACAGTAATCCACTTTGTACTGTTTTTATTTTGTTTAGCCACAGTTAACTGACTTTCAACACAGAAAACAAAGTAATATATTTCCAACTGCAGTATTTTACCATGTTCGTAAACATCAAAATAAAATAAATGAGTAAAAACTTTTCCTAAAAACAAATAACTAACTCAAAACCATTTGAGTGTTCATCAACTTATTTGGTTTCTCATCTCAGTCTTTTTTTAACAATCTTTAGTTCACATTCGTTTTCCTTTGTACTACTGCTCAAATATGTTTTTAACATTATCAGATTTCCCAGTTTCTCAGCCTTACTTGCCGCTGCCTTTGTACTACTGCTCAAACTTTTTTAAATATTATCAGATTTCCCAGTTTCTCAGTCTTACTTGCCGTTGCCTTTATACTACTGCTCAAACTTTTTTAAATATTATCAGATTTCCCAGTTTCTCAGTCTTACTTGCCGTTGCCTTTGTACTACTGCTCAAACTTTTTAAACATTATCAGATTTCCCAGTTTCTCAGTCTTACAAAAAAGTTTGAGCAGTAGTACAAAGGCAATGGCAAAAACATCATTAGATTTCCCAGTTTCTCAGTCTTACTTGCCATTGCCTCAATATGTTTCTATAGCTCTTCCTCACTCTGTATCTAAAATTCATGGCTTAGGAGAAAAAATTAGTTTAATATAGTTTATTTTTAGATAAGAGTAGCAAATTAATTAGTAATTATTATCATAACCCATCTTCTTTAATGTCAATGTCAAATTCTGGTTACAAAATTGAAGAACAAGAACTATAGCTATCTAATAAAACAATATTATATCAAAACATCTGTTTATAAGATCAAAGAATTATTAGCATTGGAAACTGATATTTACATTAGATATTTAGTGGTAACAAAAAATCTTGACATACCTGTTTTAAAATCAACCTCTGAAGGATGTTCATAACAAAACCAATTAAACGAGGATAGAGGGACAAAGATTGAATTACTGTTCTCATCAACAGTGTTGGAAGTGGGCTTTGTTCCATTAACTGCTGCATCACGACAGCCAAGACCTCCTGTGTATAGATCTGCTTCTGGGCAAAGCACAGGCCTGTAGCTGAAAAGTGAAGGTTTACATTAGTATACACACCAAACAGTTATAAATATGGATACAAGTGGTGCTTTATCAGGTAAGGGTTGACAGCTAAGACAATTACAAATGTGTTGTTTAAACACTGCATACATCTCCCCATTTTGTGGTAACTTGAGTTGTTAAAAGGTGACATACTTAGAATTGCTGGGGGTTTACCATTTAGCTCAGTTCGTAGAGTATTCTCTTGTCATGCAAGAGATCCAGGTTTGGTCCTGCTCACAGGTAGTACAAAAACTTGGATTACCATAACATTATAGTTATTTAACACCAGTTACTACAGAAAGTTGAGCTGAAGCTTTGTAGTGTAAAAAAGCTGGACCTCAAAGGAAAATAGTATAGAACAATTAT